TTCACTCCACAGCCCTTCCCCTGGGGAGATGGTAACCATACCCTCTTCCACAACCCTCATGTGAACCCACTTCCGACCGGCTATGAAGATGAGTAAAGAAAACCTGGACCTTCCCCCAGGCAACAAGGGACCACAGCACTGGTTTGGACCCTTACTCTGTGTGGACCACGGCAGCCCATTGGATGCTAAGCTCATCTTTCCTTTTCTCAGATGGTGACCATTACTCGGATCTTCCATCCCTTTGCTTGTAAGAGGAGATGGCTTAAATAAATAATTTAAACTTAGACTGTCCGTGAGCTGGATGGTGGTTTTTATTCTCAGACGCCGACATTACTTTGCTGTTTTGCAGCGTTTGAGATCTGGTCTAGCCGGGCAGTGGTGGCACATGCCTTTAATCCCAGCACTTAGGAGGCAGAAGCAGGCGGATTTCTGAGTTCGAGAGTTCGAGACTAGCCTGGTCTACAGAGTGAGTTCCGGGACAGCCAGGGCTACACAGAGAAACCCTGTCTCAAAAAAAAAAAACCAAAAAACAAACAAACTAACAAACAAAAAAGAGAGATCTGGTCTAGCCCACTAAAATAATGGTTACAGCTGGCTCCCTGCTGGTGGCTTGTGCTTATGGTGAGTGAAGTTGCCATTGGGATGGGCTCCCTGACCGACAGTGAGTGAACGGTGGAATTGCTGCTGATTACCATCTGGAACATGTCAAAGACTGGGCTCCAGAGCCAGTCCCAGGTCAGTCCAGGCTGCACAGACCCCGAACAAAGTGCCTGAGCTTTAGTTAGCTCTCCTCTGGTCACCGCGGGCTCCTGCTGCAGTCTACAAAAGGTCTTACCTTTAGGAAAAGGGTCATTTCTCAGTCGGACTGGCAGTGATGGTACACGCCTTTAATCCCAGCACTCAGGAGGCAGAGCTCCAAGTTCAAGGCCAACTTGGTCTGCAGAGAGAATTCCAGGCCAGACAGGGCTACAAGGGAAACCCTGTCTAGGAAAAGAAACAAATGCAAGCAACACAGCAGTGGTAGTTACCAAACAACTGCATTGCTGTCAATTGCTTTTCAAAATGGAAGACCTTGAAAAATAGCTTAAGTCAGTTTTGGAGAGGATGAAGCCAGGTCGGATGAGCAATCATTCTGCTCTGAGCAGTTCCATGGTCAGATGTAAGGCAAGGAGTCCGAGTAGCGGCTCTTCTTAGGTGGTCTCGAACTCCGTGGGGAGTAGCTGGGTTAAGGCGTGCACCATGCCAGTATTTCAATGACTCTCAAGTCTATTCTGAAAGGTAAGTCTTTCTCACCCGAGCTGAAAATGATGGCCGCCCCCACCACCATCCCACAGAAGACTCAAAAAGACCATGGTGGTGCTTGCTTACTACCTCTGGGACTTGAGAAGGGTAGTCTAAGACCAGAGGATTGCTACAGGTCAAAGCCACCCCAGGCCAATGTCTAAAACTGTCTTAGGAGAAAACAAGACACACTAGGAGCTGGCTCAGCAGGTGGTGGTGCTCGCTGCCTAGGCCTGATGACTGCAGTTTCATACCCAGAACCTGCATGCTGGAAGGAGGGAACTGACTTCCACATGCAAGCCATGTCCTGTGCACACGGGAATTAATTATAATTCCTATCCCAGTGTGATCTGAATGAGAATAGCCTCCTGAATACATAGGTTTAAATCCTTGGTCCCCAGTTGGTAGAACTTTTGAAGCATTGGGAGGCATGGGCTGTTGAAGGCAGGGAAGCTCTGAGGTTTCAAAACCACACCCTATTCTCAGTCAGCTCTGCCCTGTGTCTGGATCAGAATCTAAGTTCTCAGGTACTGCTCCAGCTTTATTCATGCCTGCCAGTCTGCTGCCATTTTCCCCGACGTGATCATAAGTTGCCTTGGTAATGATGTCTTTACAGCGATAGAAAAGTAACAGACACCAGTATGGTGGCACACGCCTGTCATCCCAATAGCTGAGAGGTGGAGGCCGAGGAACAAGAGTTCTTCATCAGCAGGGCAACCTTGAGGCCAGCCTGACCTACAGGAAACCTGGCCTTAAAATGATCTGGGGATGTAGCTCAGTTGATTAATGCTGGAATGTAAGAAATGTTGGGTTTGCCCTCAGTAGTACAGAAATCAGGTAAGACAGATGGCCTGAGGCACATTCTAAGGACTCTCATAAGGCTCAAAAATCTCTTGTATGTAATCTTTTGGACAATGACCCTTAACCAGTTGTAAAATATGGATATTTTTATATCCACATCTTTCTAATAATTAAAATGTTTTGAAATAGCATTAGGGTTGGCCAAATTAAAACAAAGTAGTAATTAGTGACACAGGAAACAATGTAAACTTTTGTACAGCAGCTCTCATCCGTCTTTAGGACTATGACAGATCCTGTTCTAGGTAGGCGGGTAACTACATAACATTGCTCTGGAACCACAGTACATGGTATTTAAAGAAGCCGTTTATCTAGGTGAGCGTGCTAGTGAGCACGTGTGATCTAGCACCTGGGCGGCAGATGCAGGAGGCCAGCCGAGTCAGATTTCTAATCTAAGTGTTGATTGGCCACCTAGGCTTAAATCAAGTTACAAAGCAAAGCAGGCTCTGCAACAAAACGAGATAGACGGGCAACGGGAAATAAATGTTCAATAAAGTACAGAGTTTCAGGAGTGGAGAGTAAAGACTGAATTCTAAGATTTATTCAATTTCATGATTACAGACTTAGGGCATGGTCGGCAAACAAAAATCAGTAAGCACCTTTCCCCCACTTAGCCGGATGCATTTTGCCTTTTATGTGATATGCACGTGACTTTAATTCGTGGAGTTGAAAGTTAGCAACAGCAAACCTGTAATGCAGGTGTCTCTTGCACAGCCACCCCAGGAGCTGGAGTTATGAGCCGTGAGCTCCAAAGTGGTGTTCCCATCATTCCTGAAGCTTCTGAATGGTAAGCTGACACCTCGTTAAGGCAGGAGCTCAGTAAAGCTGTCTTCTTCCATATCCCAGGCCACCAGCAGCTGACAATGTTACTATAAAAATACAATCATGTTTCCAAGCAGTGATTGAAACGGTGGTGTCCGCACCCCTTTTCAGAGCACTAGGTCCCTGAGAGGAAAAAGAGGTCCTGACCGACCATGAGCAATACCTCCCACACAGTACACCCAATGTCCTCTGCAGCAGACGCAGCCTTGATCATGACCAGTTCACTGTATTCATATCCGAGGACTGGTGAAAGCTGATTCCAGATCATGTTTTGCAACCATATCCCCAAGAAGCTGTCCCCTTGTAGCAGGAGGAGTTCCAGAAAGACGTCAGCAAAAGTGAAGTTTTCTCAAAGCAGGAGTGAAGGCTGCTCCTTCAGAGCAGAGCAGACCACCAAGACGGGGGACTCTCCTTTAAACTCTTCCAATCTCATACTAGCTTCACAGCCTTCCCTGACAAAATCCAGAGGCCTCTCACTTTACTGACTTCTTCCAAGTGACAGGCAGGTCAGGAAGAGTTTTCAGGCTTTTCTTTGCCGTGACCCATGAACTCCAGGCCTTCAATAGGAATCTCTTTCTCCTTGATTGCTTTCTGAAGGAGGAAGAAAATGTACTATGAGTCCATGGAGGCTTGCAGTCCATGTTTTGTAACTGAGGTGTAATGGTACAGAGGTAAACTGGACTGAACCGGAAAAGCTTGAAATCCACAATTCGAGGGACACCCTTTTTTGAGACAAGGTCTCACTGTGTAGCCCTGGCTAGTCTGGAACTCACATCTATCTGCCTGCCTCTGGGTCCTGGGATTTCAAGTGAGTAGCGCCCAGCACTGTTTTAACAAAGCAGTGTGTGGTACAGACTGTCATGTTAAGTCCTGTGTGGTATGCACACCTGCTCTTGGGAGGTGAGGCAGGAAGGTCAGTTCAGGTACCTATCTCTATCTTAGTGACAGTGTTCAATGTGAATCCCAGTTCAAGCAGCTATGTGACCTTGGGTCACCTTCACTGAGAACTGGCTAAAGGTAGCTTCTGGAATCGAGAGGGTGTTTTAGGTTAAGTTAGAAACGCTGGTCTGAACTCAAACCTTAACTGGCTACAACAGGTAATTGGTAGAGGAAAACAGAACACCGAAGAGATGGTAACAAATAGGCGACCTCAACAATGCCTTAGGAGTCTAGAAAACAGTAAACACCATCCACTCCTAACAATGAAATGACGCACCACCAAAGTAATCAAGGTCACCAGACTCTAGTGCCTTTGAACCAGTCACTTCCTATTTCTGAGTACGAGTTTTCCCACGTGTAAAATATAGATAATAGAACGTCTTGTCACCAAGCCTGGTGATCTGAACTTTATCCCCAGAACCCATATAAATGTGAAGGGAGAAAACTGACTCCCGAAGTTGTCTCCGCCCTTATCGAGGACGCGAACACACGTTCCCCCCCACTCCACCATTCGAGACACGGTTTGTCTGTGTCGCCCGGATGTCCTGGAACTCACGCTGAAGACCAGGCTGGCCTCGAACTCGTAGATCCGCCTGCCTCTGCCTCCCGTGCGCTATGGATATTAAAGGTGTGCGCCACCACCAACCGGCCACGCCAATTTTTAAAGATACGGGTAATTATGGCCACTTGCAAGTTTCGAATGAGCACCAAATAAATGAGCAACAAAAATACTAATGTACTCTGTAAAAAGCAAAGCACCGCAAAAGCATCCCAGTGTGTCAAGTGGAGACACCCAAGCAATTTCGGCGGGATGACGGAGAGGGCTGGCTGCTGCAGCCCGGCGGCGGGTCCGGGCGAGCCTCACCTGGACGCACTGTTGGTAGCGTTTGAAGAGGTCGGTGCACGGGTCCCCGGAGCCGTCCCCTTTGAGGAACTTCTCAGCAAACCAGCGGTTGAAGCACTGGTCGTACTCGCGCTTCATGTCAGTGCAAGCCTCCCCGACGCTGTTCATGGCGATGGCAGCTGCCGTGACGGCGACGCACTCTAATGTCGTCACCCGCGCGCGCGCGTCGCCCCACCGTTTGTAGCCGCTACGGAGGCCGAGAAGCAAAGAAATGTGGTCACGGGCGGCGAGGGTGCGATTTCGGGCTCTGCTGGACGGGAGCCGAGGCTTTGCTTCCGAAGCGGGTCCACGGGGAAAGATCCAGGCGGCGGGGCCGGCGACCCAGGCTCCACGCCTCGTCCCGCAGGCCACCGGTCGCGTGTCCGCCGCGGTAATCGAGCATCTGGAGCGGCTGGCGCTGGTGAACTTCGGCAGCCGCGAGGCGGTGGACCGGCTGGAGAAAGCCGTCGCCTTTGCCGATCAGCTGCACGCCGTGGACACCGACGGGGTGGAGCCCCTGGAGTCGGTACTGGAGGACAGGTAAACTCCCGGCTGCGGCCTCGACGTCTTGACCCGGGCACCTTCGAGGCCGTTTCAGGTCCTTTCAGCGTCCTTTGCATAAATGGAAATGTGCCCAGTCACCGCGAGGATGGCTTCACTCTTCACCTAGTTGATTATAGATCCTGTCACTCCCGTTTAGAATCCTCTAGCCTTCCCAGTCTCGATATAAATAGAAACAAAATACGAGAATCCCCTACTTCATAGAGCCCCCACCCACCCTCTCGGGTGTACCGTTCCTCGGTACCCTCCATCCTCGTCTGGCTTACAGGCCACGTTCGTTCATTTCCCCTTTTCCTCTAAGGTGTTTTCACTTGTCTGCCTGAGAGCATCAAATTAAATATATGAAGAAGATATATATATATCTTCAAATCTGTTCATATGCTAATATGGATATCCAAATAGCAAGTAAGTTATGTCTCATCTATTTTTTTGAGACAGAATCTGGCTAAATGTCGTGGAATAGCTTTGAACCCAAGGTTATCTTGCTGCTTCCTTACTGCTATTTATAGGCCTGTAGTTTCATTTGGAGACATTTCATTTCTTTTGAGATCGGGTCTCATGTAGACCAAGCAATCTAAGGATGACCTCGATTTCGTGATCCTTACACCTCCACCTCGAAAGTCCTGGGATTTTAGGTTGTTGAGCAACCATGGTGTTTATGTAGCCCAGGCTGGCCTCACATTTTGGCCAGTACAATGCCCAGCTGGCATTATAGGTGTAAAGGTACCAATCCTGTTTTGAACATGATTTTTTTTAAGTTAATTTGTGTGTGTGTGTGTGTGTGTGTGTGTGTGTTTTGGTTACTTTTAAGTCTGTGTATCACATCTCTGGTGCAGAAGAGGGTGTGGGATCCACTGAAACTGGATTGTAAACCACCATGTGTGTGTTGGGAATCAAACCTGGGTCATCTGGAAGAGTGACCAGGACTAACCACTGGACAATCTTCCTAATCCCATCAGTGATAACAGACAGCTAAGTCTATGACTGTAACTTTTATGTGAAATGCTTTGCAAAGTTTAAATCTTGTTAGCCTCCCGTCCTTCTCACCTTCCAGTCTTTGATCCCTTCCGGTCTTTGATGTGATGCTCAGATCCAGAGAGGTTAGCACTATTTGCCTAACATTACCCAGCACCTCATTACCCAGTACTTCACATCAGATACCTGATGTCATTTTCCCATCCAAGACCTTCAGGACATGTGCCGCTGCTCCTAAAGCCAAGAAAAGTTTGCTTGTGGCCCGCAGGTCCTCAGCTGTCACAGCCCCTGCCTGTCTCTCCACACTCTCTCAGCTTCTTGACTTCCCCGCCCTGTTACTTTTCCCCCACAATTTTTTAGTCCTCGATTTCACCAGCTCCTTATCCCACCTACTTTTCTCCTAATTCTCCTTTCTTCTTAAGCTGTCGACTGCCATTAAGTCTTTATTTCTTTACACAGTTACATCTTTTATGGTTCTACTGATATTCAAGAGTTGTTAATCGTAACATATCGACTTAAATGTTAGGTCTCTGCCCCTCCCTTTCTGTTTATCCAAATATCGTGACTTGTGTTTGATTTTTTTTTTTATGTCTAGCACTGAATAAATACTTGGTAAATGCTCAAATAAACATTTCATTAATTTTATTTGGGGAGAGACTAGAAAGGAGTCGGCAGTGGTGGCGATGTGGCAGTAGTGGTGGTGGGTTCAGCAGGTGAGGGCGATTGCTACCAATCCTGGTGGTCTGAGTTTGATCCTTAAGCCCCACGTAGTGGAAGAAGAGACCTGACCCTAACAAGTTGTCCTCAGACCTCCACACCCATGGTACATACCTCTGCCGCATATGAAATTTTAGAATTGTAAATTTTTTTTCAAGAGTCAGGATTTCCTGTCTTCTAGGAGAAACTAAAGAAATGCAGTTGCTACAAAGGGAAGAGTCAGCGACAACAACAATGACAAAGACAAGCAATATTTGTCATGTAGTGGCTGGAATTGGAGCCTGTCATACAGTGGCCTGTATTTCTTTCCATATGTGATTTAGGTTAATGAATCCCACTAATCATTTTAATATGACATTTGTAGGACTTCAAAAAACAGGCCTGATGAATCCCAGCATCTCAGGCCTGACTTGAATGTGCTTTTAATCTTTAAGTGTATGTGCCCGAGGGTCTATGCATTTGTGTGCAGGAATCCGCAGAGGTTGGAAGAGGGTCACTGTGAGATCCCCTGGAGCTGGCGTTTCAGGCAGTGTGAACCTCCGTGTTGGCACAACGAACCAAACTCCGGCCCTCTGTAAGAGCTAAATGCTCTTAGTGCATGAGCCATGTCTTGAGCCCTCGACCTGAGTGTTTTAAATGCTTGTCTTGAAACATCTAGTAATAGGTGATCAGCAGTTTTGGCAACAGCCATAATTGCAGTAAAAACCCCAACTGGCTAGTAGAAGTCTGTCTACACAATAATATACCATTTGGGTTGATCTAAAAAGCTTTCATGTGCCTGTGCTGTGGGTTAGGAGTTTGTATGCAATATCTTGGTTATCATATATGACTTATATGATTCTGGAAGGCAAAGAGTGCAGGTTCCATACAAGAAACGGGCTCAGGGTTTCATAGGAAAAGCCAGGACTTGGGACCCATAAGCCTGTAACTCTCAAGTAGTGCTGTGTCAGCCACGCAGTAACACCTAAATACCCGTTTGGGTGTCTTCTCAAACCCAGAGACCAGCTTCACCATCTCACTGCAGCCAAATACTTCAGTGCTTTATTAAAACAAAAACTAGCCGGGCGGTGGTGGCGCACGCCTTTAATCCCAGCACTTGGGAGGCAGAGGCAGGTGGATTTCTGAGTTCGAGGACAGCCAGGGATACACAGAGAAACCCTGTCTCAAAAAACCAAAAGAAAGAAAAAGAAAGAAAAAGAAAGAAAAAGAAAGAAAGAAAGAAAGAAAGAAAGAAAGAAAGAAAGAAAGAAAGAAAGAAAGAAAGAAAGAAAGAAAGGGGAAGGGAAGGCTCTGCACATACAATACAAGCTGTCGTACAGAGCAACCAGGGAGTCAGAAGCAGAAGCAAACAATGATCCAACTGTTGTTCAGTTCAAGACCCAGCAGCACATGCAAAGTCTCTCCTCTCTCTGCTGCCAAGAACTTCCTGTTACTGGGGTAAATCACTTGTCCGCACTTTCATAAGTGACGATTCCTAGTTCATAGTCCCTTTCAACCAGGATTCCTCATTGGAACTAGGATGCAGAAGGAATTAGTTTTCATTCCTCACAGGAAAGTGCATAGCTTATGTTAGCCAAGGAAAGACGATGGTTATGAAAATGGATGTCTTTGAGCATTAAAACTCATTTTGTAGAATCCTGGTAAAGACAGGTAAGGCAGGGACTGGCCTTGGTAGCTCATATACATAATTGCAGGACTTGGGATACTCCAGCAAGATTCATACAAGTTTTGAGTTTAGTAGTTACTAAAGGAGACCGTGTTTCCAGAAAACAGACAGACGCTGGAGAGATGTCTCAGCAGTTAAGGACATACACTGCAGCTCTTGAAAAGGAGCCCCTAAATTGAGCTCCAACGCCCATGTTAGGAGGCTCACAAACACCCATAATTCCAGCTCCAGGGCCTCCAAAGGCACGGGTACTCACATACACAGATCCTCTCACATATATATAATTAGAAATAATTTATTTTTGAAAAATCTTAGAGTTCGAGGCTAGCCTGGTCTACAGAGTGAGTTCCAAGACAGCCAGGGCTACACAGAGAAACCCTGTCTCCAAAAACAAAAACAAAAAAACAAAAAAAAAAAGAAAGAAAGAAAAGAAAAATCTTCTGGGGCTGGAGAAATGGCTTAAATGGAGAAATGGTTAAGAGCTCTGACTGCCCTTCCAGAGGACCTGAGTTCCATTCCCAGCACCCCTGGTGGCTCACAATCCTCTGTAATTCTAATTACAAGGGAGCCCAATGCCTTTTGGCCTCTATGGGTACATACACACAGGCGAAATACTCATACACACAAAATAAAAATCTTTTTAAAAACAAAACAAATGCACCACGGCCAGTAAGCATGATGTCCTTGGTTGGTTCCTCAGCACTACCAAAGTCAAACAGAACAGGAACCCATCCTCAACCTCAGCCGGGCCTGTTGAGTGTTTTAGATTCTGGGATTGCTGTAAGAATGCTGGCCCAGCACTGTGAAGTCAGGCTTTGCATTTGCGGGATCTCACTATGTGTTTGTTGTAGAACACACTGTTTTACGGTGTGACATGGCTGCTGCTGTCTTGAGCTGTCAGCAGGTCAGACTATCCAAGGGAGACTTACCTATCTCAGGCTCCTTGACTTTGTGTTTTACAGGAAGGAGTTCAGGAGTTCCTATCCCTCCCCCAAGATTTACCACCAGTTAACAGTTGCTGGGAGAGGTTGTTTGTTTTTCCAGTGTTGTAACTGCCCATAAAGTTCTTCGTGTTCCTACAAGTAACCCGTTAAACCAATTGCTTCACCAAGCTAGACCTGGGTCTGTCATAGTGGTTTGCTCGTCTTCCTGGGAATTTTTCATACAGCCGTAGTCTGCCTTCCACTTGTGATGTACCTGCCTTAGCCTCCTGTGTCAGTATGTGTCACCATACCTGCCTGGTGTTTTTATTCGTATTGTAGTTACTGGACATGGGTATGAGAGTGTCAAACCTAGTGCATGTATGGAGGGGAACTGCATCTCTCCCATTTGGATCCTAAGAATCAAACGTCACCTTTGCTGGAGCCCCTTTCACTACCCCACTTTGTTTCCCTTGAACAAACATTTTGAGGCTGAAGAGATGCTCAGTGGTTAAGAGTGAGAACTGTTCATGCAGAGTACCCAGCACCCAAGGCAGGCAGACAGGTCACAGCTGTCTCTAACTCTGGCTGGATGCCTGTGGCTTCCATGGGCACCTGTACTCATGGACACATACCCACAGACATACACGTGCATAAATAATACAAATAAAAAATTTAAATGATTACATTTGATGTTTATAAAGAAAACTTAAGACATAGAGGTGATAGGTGCTCTGGTGTCGGGACTTGAATTCAGCTGACTTAAGATCTGTGCTCTTGGTCCTTCTCCAACGGAACCCGGAGTCCCAGAAAGACCAGTGGCCACCTTTGCGTGGTGCAACTGCCCCAGCTCTCTGGTCTATCACAGCACTCCTCCTAACTGGGGACAGCGACCACAGCAATGACTGTCCTGTCCCTCTGTGCTCTAAAGCCTCAAGTCTCTCAAACCCTAACTCTGACCTTTGCATTTTGCAGGTGTCTCTACCTGAGACCTGACAGTGTAGCAGAAGGTGGCTGTGCTGAAGAGCTCCTACAGAATTCCAGTCATGTTGTGGAGGAATACTTTGTGGCCCCCCCAGGTATGTGCTACCCAGAGTGGCTCAGACACTCTTGCTGAAGACGAATACTATCCGAATGCAAAAGGACAATGCACACAAGTGGCGGCGTTATAAATGACATGTGTGCAGCCACACTGAAAGAGAAGTACAGGAGTAAGGGTGTGTGTGCAGCAGACAGCACGGCTCTGCATCTGGAAGCCTGTCCACAGGCCCGGCTGGCATTCCCTGGTGCTCTTCCGGTGCCAGAGTAACCTGAGCCTATTTGCTTGGAGAAATTAAGTATGTGACATCTGTCTGATTATTTCCTCAACTTTACTGGCATTTGATTCAAATAGGAAAAGTGAACAGTGCCACACAGGCCAGCTGAAACATACCTGTGTGGTAGCCACGGTTTATAATCCCTGATGTAGCACCCTGCACTTTTCAACCTCACTGTACATAGTTTAAAACTTTGTATCTCCTGTGCATGAGTCCTCAGAGCTGCCAGAGCACCCAGCCTCCACATCAGACACCAAGACCAGGCAGTTAACAATAAAAAAGCCTGTTAGCGGGGGGATGGAAATCTAAGCTAACAGGCTTATGGGCTGAACTTTTAACTATGCTGCGTTGGCCTCAGCTGGCTAAAGACCCTTACAACGCTGCCATCTCAGGCTCAGCAGTCGCTGCCACTTCATGACATGCACCTAGGGATCACTCTGCAGACAGGACCTTGTTCCCGACTTGGGTTCTTGGGTTCCTGGCACAGAGGTTCAGTCTGTCTTTCACTCCTACCTGCGTATGTACCTTGCCTGTGTGAACTGACAAGCATGAATGTGGCTTCACTGGGAACTGTTACTGATGCTTGAGTTAGAAAAAGGATAGCATCAATACTTAACTTACAGTTTTCCACGAAATTCACGTGACCAATTAGTTTAGGAGAGGCAGCTGGACATCAGGCTCAACTGAAATATTCTTCTTATTTTTCAAACAGGTAATATCCCTTTGCCAGAAACGGTAAACAAGATTCCTTCTTCCACAGCAGAGTAGCTATTCTGGGAAAGGGACACCCTGTCAACGTGGTGGACTCACAAGGGTGGTCATTTGCTACTGTGAATTCTAGTATAAACTGGATATTTACGATTTCTTGGTAATTGGTCTGAAGACAGAACTGGAAAAGACCCAGCTAACAGAATACCACAAGCCTGCTTCCAAGGAAATTGATCAAATATTCAGGCCTATTCTGTATGGAAAACATCTTCCTCCCTCATCTGTCCCTAAAAAACACTATCTTGTCAAAATGTACCTATGTGGACGTTTCTGTGTGTATGTAAGAGACAGATGATCTGTGTTTCTTTTCCATTATCTGTTTCTGGGTACCTACCTTATTCCTACCAGAGGGCTCAGTTTATGGATAGCTTTGAGTAGTATCAAAGTAAACTACTGCCTGGGAACTCCTAATTCAGAACCATCTTCCTTTCTCAGAAAGCTAACCAACCTCCACCTCATCCTTGGTGTCCATTAACACAGACCCTCTATACACACACACATCTTAAGTATACATAAGCACCCAACACACACACACACACACACACACACACACACACACACTCTCTCTCTCTCTTTCTCTCTCTCTTGTGAACTCCAGCCAAATAGTTCCTTTCTGAAAAGAGAACTTGTTAAAAACAGCCCTGGCTTGTTTTCATTATTTCTCTTCCTTTATCTGCAATGCCTGTGTCCCACACACTCCCTTTTTTTTGTTCATTCAGATAGGGCCTCTTTGTACACCCCTACACCTTGTTTGTTTGTTCAGATAGGGCCTCTCCTTATGTCAGGCTGGTCTTGAGCGCACAGCTAGCTTCCTGCTATAGCCTCCCAAGCACAGGGATTAGAGGCAGGAACCACCTCAGTGACCTCCTGTTATAGGCCGTTTAATTTACAATGTCAGTTCTGAATTATAACATCTCTGAATCTGAGTTAGAGATCCCTCAGAGATTAAGAGAATTTCATATCCCAGATGTGGTGGTGAATGTCAAGCACTTGGGAGGCAGAGGCAAACAGATCCCCGAATTCAAGGCCAGCCTGGTCTACAGAGCCAGAATTATTCTGAGAAACCCTCTCTGAAAAAGAAAAAAGAAAAAGAAAAATTAAAAAAAAAAAAAAAAAAGAACCCAAACCAAAGAAACAAAAACCCAGCACTTCCTCTTCTCCAGCCTGAGCCAAGTCCAGCTCTAGAACCCACGTCAACGCATGGTGACCCATGACCTGGGATTCCAGCTCTGCAGAGGTTGATGCTGTCTTTCTGGACACATGTGGCATAAGCATGTAAATAAAAACCAATCTTAAAAAAAAAATAAAAAAAGAGTCTGCCTTTGGTGTTGAGTTTTTAAAATCGTCACCATTACTCCAGCAAAGTGACGGTGTTTCTGCTCCTTACAAACTGCTATGACAACTCCGTTCTCTCTGGTCAGTCCCTGTCAGATGAAACCTACATACTCAATCAAAGACAACTGCACACAAATTACTAAACATTTAAAATATATTTCTAAACAAAATGGGCGACTCGGTCGTCGTGACTGCCAATCTCCAGAGCAGAGCAGCCCATAAACATCAGCACTGATTTCTGTCCCATAATCAGGGGTGAAAAAATATACAACTTGTTCCTGAACCAAAGCCACAACCTCTATCTCTGCAGTCTCAAACATGTCACTGCTAGTATGGTGGCTCTAGTCAAAATTATATAGTTCCTTAAAAAAGAAAAAAAGGAAAGCAAAGAAATTAAAAATTTGCCGGGTGGTGGTGGTGCACGCCTGTAATCCCAGCACTTGGGAGGCAGAAGCAGGCGGATTTCTGAGTTCGAGGCCAGCCTGGTCTACAGAATGAGTTCCAGGACAGCCAGAACTACACAGAGAAACCCTGTCTCGAAAAACCAAAAAAAAGAAAAAAAAAAAAAAGAAATTAAAAATTTTTCCTAAGACACTAAATTATCAATCTGGAATGTAGCTTCTGAGCACAAAGCAGCTCATCTCAAAAACTGAAGAGCGCCTTCCCACCACCTCCTCAGTAGGGCCTGAAAGGAGAGAAGTAGTGTGGCGAGCCCCGGCTTTGGTATGGAGAGTCTCGGCCCCTGGACCCAGACCGTGACCGGGAGTAGCCATAGCTGGTGCTCCTCTCAGGATACACTCGGATGTAGGAAGTCTCACCCTGGAATTCAAACGAACAGAAAGGGGAAAGTGAGAATCAGAGTGGGGAGCAAGGCCCCGCCCCGCATTCACTGTGCCTGGCACTGTGAACCTCACTAAACTTCCAGTTACATGGAGCTGGTACCCGTACTGTTTTAAACAGAGGACGTAAGCAGAGAAGCCCCTCAGCTTGGGTCACTGTAGACAGGCTTTAAGGTACAGTGAAGTTCAAGGGGAAAGGCATGGCTTTTTGCTACTGCCGCTAATTAGACTTAACCAAAGGCGTGAACCCACCTCGTGAGAGCGGAATTTGGTGTCGTCCAGTTTACGCAGAGCGTACTCCATGTCTTCTTTTCTCAAATATTCAACCATCCCCATTCCATCCTTCTGTACGTCTGCATAACAGACATCCCCAGCTTCGCGCATGTGATCCTTCAGGTCCTGCCAGCTTCCTGACGGAGGAAGTCCTGGCAGAAAATGGAAGAGAAGAGCACAACCTCAGCCGTGGCAACTGCCCTGTAGGAGCTGGCAGTACCTATGGTGGTCTACGCTCTGTGATCACTTAATTCTTAAGGGTTCCCAAGTCACAAATCCTAAGGGGCAGAGAACCAGAGAAATATACTGCAGTATGTGGTAAACCACCACGAGAGGCTGGTCTGGGCTAACTGTCCAGAGACCAAAGCTTCCCAACAGAGCAAACAAATCCTCCTGTCACAGGTTTACAACCTCTGAGAATTTACCACTCTGTGCTTCACAATCAATGTGACACTCCCAAAACCAAGTTCCCGGTTTTATCTGTTATGAAATTTATTAATACCAAGTATTTCTTGCTGAACTGATTTTCCCAAGACATGAGAGTTCTGAAACAAGCCAAGTGTAGCTGAGGGAACAGCCCAAGAGAGCATGTTTCTTTCTTTACAGTGTGAATGGTTGACAGAGCACAGAGCGCCTCGTCAAGAGATCACCAACATTCCTCACTACAGTGGGGAAGGAACACTCAGACGCTACAGCTAGTTGGGAGTCACACAACCCTACCTGGTGTCATGAAAGGGAAATGTGCTCCTGCTCTCAAAGGCTGTGCTTACCGCGCACAGCTCAGGACTGCAGCCATTTCCTAATAGTTTTCTAAGCAGGAGGTCAGAGCAGCATGGAGAGAAAAAGAGATAACGTATGACATCTGGAAGGAGGGAGTGGAGTCCTAGGGTTAAAACTACAGAGGGACACAGGGAGACAGGTTCCACACTCTTCCGCACCACTGTGATTGTGGGACAGTCACACCTTAAAGGGTGGCAGGCTCAGTACACTTCACTCCACTAGGGTCCCTCAACTGCCCTGTAACGTGCAGAGGGCCTGGGTCCTAACGCTGCACTGACTGATACTTTAAAGACCCATCTGAGCTTATTACACATCACCTGTTGACACCAGTTATAAATAAAAGCTCTACGCCTTCCAGTACAATCCCCATGACTCTACGTTGTCTGCATCTGGCTCCTGGGATGTCTAGGAAGCCATCTATCAAGGAACACTCCCAGAGAAAACATTCGCCGAATTCTAGAGCAAACGTTTTCCCATCACCTTGCCCTCTCACCGCTAAGAAACGTGTTTCTCAGGCCATGGTGGTGCACACCTTAAATCCCAGTGCTCAGGAGGCAGAGGCAGGGGGATCTCTGTGAGTTTGAGGCCAGACTGGTTTACATGGTGAGTTCTAAGACTACATAGAGACTGTTTCAAAACAAAAAAAGAAAGAGGTCTCCGTCCCACAGAGGCTCTATGACGTGTACGATTTCATTCGTACAATACCTGCCTCCCTGACTAACCAGGGCAGAGCTTTCGACTGCCCGTGTGCACTGGCTACGAGAAGCCAGCATGTCCCACTTCCTCAACACTAAGCAACACTCCATGGAGGCTAGACTCTGAAGCAGTGTGCACACACCAGCTTGTTCAGCGTAGGGAGAACATACCTGAAACAAGAACTCGGAAATCTGACCGTCTTGTAGGAGGCCCGTTTCTGGCACCACGGGGCCACCCACCCCGACCTCCGTAGGTCCTGGGGAATTCCACACGGAGTCGGCACTGGCCATAGTCATAACCGTTCCTTCCATAGATGGCATCCTCAGCATCTCTACAAGGGAAAGACGGAAATCAGCACTGCCCAGCTGGGTGGATGGCTTCCCAATGGAGGGCTTGCGTAACTGAGCGGGGAGGGAAATCAGCCCTCATGAGGGAGGGAACAGGAGGATGGACACCAGACACAAGCTTGCCACACTTTGGCTCAGGAGGAAGGCCCTGAACGTCACTCAAAGCTTTACAGCTGGGACGGCAGCAGGATGGCTAAGCCACGGCATGCATACACTCTCAAGTGCAAAATAGACTCAGAAACCGAAAAATACAAACAAAAGCCAACTGGACAGTGAATGGAAGGTCTGCATAGCAACTGAAGAAGTGATATGTACGCGTGAAGCAGCATAACAAACTCATTATTCTGAACGCACAACTGCAGTCAAGCACATGGTTCTCCGGGGATGAGAAATGCAGATAAACAGAACGCTTATACGGAGGCTGACTCAGGAACTGGAGGTGGCTCCGCTGCCAAGAGAGCTTACTGTTCTTTTCCAGGACCAGGCTTTGGTTCTCAGCACCCACACAGCAGCTCTGTAACTCCAGTTCAAGGGGCTCCTGTGCTTCTTTTGACCTATGACCTCCACAATGTATACGACAACACATACCAGGTGCATCTACACACACACAGATTAGTTTTTTGGGAGAGGCTAATTCATAGGATTAAAATAATTGTTGACAGATAACTGATTTTGCCAATAAACTGAATTTATCAGACCATGGCGAGCATTTTCTCTAAGGCAGTGGTTCTCATCCTATCATAACTCCTTTGGCAAACGTTTACCGCCCAGAATATCTGCATTACTACCCATAGCAGTAGCAAAGTCAGTTACGAAGGAGCAAGGGAAATAATTTTATGGTTGGAGGTCGAAAACATCCTACATTAGACCCCTTAATAGTCTTCCACAAGACAAGGTTTACGGGGAGCGGAAGAAGCCACATTAAAAGGTTTCAAAAAGTCAGGGGTGGCGGTACACTGAGGAAACTGAGGCAGGGAGTTCGGAGACCACCCTGGACTACAAAGAAAGACCGCCTCAAAAAGTCACTACAAATTTAAATTAAAGACAAATGAAATGGGGGTCTGAGGATGGCCCATCAGCTAAGAGCACCTGTTGGTCCCAGTACTGATATGGCAGTTCCCAACCATTCCAGTCCCAGGAGAGCCAACATCTGCTTCTGACTTTCTTGAGCAACAGGCATGCAGGTGGAGCAAATACAGACAGGCAGCACACACACACACATAAGTCACCTTAAAAAATAAATAAAATAAAGAGATAAACAAGGCTGGGTTCCGTGACTCACGTCTTTAATACCAGCAACGGGAGCCAGAGGCAAGCGGATCTCTGTGAGTTCCGGCCAGTCAGAGCTATAGTCTAAGACCCTGTCTAAAACAAACAAAAAAAGGCATCAAGGAGCACGACCGTGGCAGTGTTGTCTGCTGGAAGGGTCAGGCATATTAAGGATTTAAAACAGAACTTGTAGGTAAAGGATTTGAGTTACCTGTTTAAGCTTTTACAACTCTGAGAAATGAGCCTATCCAACTGAGTTATCAAACGCACTAAGTAGGATGCTAATAATTTTTAAATGCTTTTTTTTGAAACTTCCCAAATAGAGCACAATATAGTTCTTCTGTTAAGAGTAAAGGAAAAACGGGATCATGTAACATAACACACAGTAGTAACGGGGGTTCAAATCCTACCTAGATCCTCTACAAAAATCCCTTTACTAACCTCTCCCATTAAACAATCCGAAATTTCTGTGAAATACGGGTCAACAACCTCCGCTCCGTGCGACACTGAAAACGCTAACTACACGGGGCGGCACTCGACTGTTCAAAAATACACACAACGAACGGCGCTGTTCATTCGAGCCATCATTTTCTCACGTTCATACGTTAAAAAAAAAAAAAAGCTTCAGTCTCTTTTTTGAGGCAAAACTGCAAGAAAGTTAGGGGTGAGTCCTGTTAAGTCTTCAACCATCGCAGTCCAGGGTACTTGTACTGTGAATCCGTATCTCCAACCCAGGCCGGGTCGGCAAGCAGAGACGCTCTCCTCCCAACGATGCCGAGAAGACAGGGAACAGGTCCTCACTGACCCTCCCAGGGCAATGACCACCACGGCGCAGAGACTTCTAGCTACAGCCCGCCCGGAGGGCTCGCAACATTTGCAAAAAAAATCACAAAGGTCCTCCGGCTCCGGGGAGGACCTAGTTCTTCCACACCCCTGGTACAATTCAACTTCTGGCAGGGCCAGAATGAAATCACAGACGCCGCCCCCCGTCTCCCGCTGGCTCCATCCGATTCCCTTTACTAGAACTAAGCTCGGCGGGGCGCCCAAGTCGGGGAACCCGGGCTCCAGACACCCCTTCTTACAGCCGCCTAAAAGACAACCCGTCCCCGCCGTCTGTTTCCCGCCCGTAACGGCGAGGAGCCCCGGACCCGGGAGGAGGGGTCGCGGGGAGGGTGACTGTCGCCTTCGGCCGAGTCCTCTGCAGGCAGGGCCGGTTCGGAGACCCCCCCCCCCGAGGCTTCCAAGCCCTGAGCCGCTCCCCTTTCGGGGTGCGTCCCGTTAAGGGGTGGCTTCCCAAACCCGAAGGGGAGAGCGCTGTTTTTTTTTTTTTTTACCCTCCCCCGAGGCGCGGGGCCCCCCAATGAAGGAAGTGACCACAGGCAAAAGCCTGAGGAAAAGCAGCCGCCGCCGCTTCCTCCAGCCGGGGGCGCCGCGAGGGGGTCCGCGCGGCGGGGACGGGGAAGGGAGGGAGGGGAGGCCCGGCCCGGCGCACGGCCTGCAGGAGGGCGAGCCGGCGAGCCGGCGGGCGGGCAGGGGGTGTTTCCTCACCGCGGGTCCTCGAAGCGCACGAAGGCGAAGGGCACGAGGCCGTGCCGGTTCTTGAGCTCGATCTCGCGGATGCGGCCGTACTTGTAAAACAGATCCTCGAGGTCCTTCTCGCGCACGTCGGTCGGAAGGTTGCCCACGTAGATGCGCCCGTCGCCCTCGCCGCCGCGCTCGTCCGCCCAGCCCGACATCCGCGCACCGCCCGACGCCGCGGGCCCGCCGCAGCCGCCCCGCTCTCCCGCCGCCGCCTCCTCCTCAGCCCCGGGTCCCCGCCACAGCTTCTCCCGCCTCCCCCCCCAAACCCCGCGGGCTCCCGAGGCGCTCAGCCGCGCTGCATTGTGGGAAACGCGGCGCGGAAGCCGTGGGGGTCGGAGGCTCTTTAAAGCGATCTTAAAGGGGTAGCGGCCGCGAGGTGCGCGTGCGCGACGGTCAAGGCTCCCAAGAGGGGCGAGCCCGGAGGTCCGCGCGAGCGCCGGCTTAGGCTGGCAGGTCACCGAGCCCGGCTGCGCTTGTGGCTGTCCCTCTGCGAGGGGGCGCCCGAGGAAAAGGACGCCGACCCCACAGAAGCCCTCAGGCTGGCCCGGCGCTGGGCTATCCTGGTCCTCAGTCTCAGGTCCGTAGTCCTTTCCTTAGACCCGAGATGGAAGCCCCAAGATGGGTCTCCAAGAGCTCGGTTGTCGAATTTATGGAGAGCGGAGCGTGGTGGTGCAAACCTTTCGTTCCAGCACTCCGAATCCAGACAGAGGCAGGGGCGTCTCCATGAGTTCCAGGGCAGCCTGGCTTACATAGAAAAATAAAAAGAACACGACTGCTCCTAGGTATAGTGGGAAAGAAGGTTTATTGTAGAGATGTGGGGAGAGTCCAGAGTGGACATGACCGGGCTGAGCCGGGCCCTGTGAGGAGAGGCGGGAGGGAGAGAGGAAGCGGCAGGCAGGAGAGTAACCAAAGTGTCTGGGAAGAGCCTCCTGCCCTGGAGGGCGGGGTATGTGAGCCCTGTAACAGGTAAGGACCGGAGGATGCCCGGAGAACCTGGAGACCTGGTCTGCTCTGTTAAATAGGCACCTCAGTGGATCGCCCGGGGTTTGAAATTTAACAGCTACTGCCCTGCCTCAAAGAAAGAGAGAGAAAAGAGAATCTGTGGGGGACAGGCATGTAATATTTCATATTACCACAATCATCACTGTAGAGTTTGCTTATTTGTGCATTCTGGACTTTCATAGCGAGTTTGAGACCAACCTCAAAGAAAAAACAAAACAAAGCTATGAGTGGCGATGCATTTGGGTAATCGCACTCTCTGAAGGCTAAGGAGACTTGAAAATTCTAGGATAGCCCGGGCTACGCACTGAGATCCTGCCTCGAAAAACTATTCAAATGTAGATGCCTGGAGGGATAGAAGGCAAAAATAACGAGATCCTAGCTGTAACCCTGGGCGGCCTGTGTTCACCCTGATGTTATTTCAACTCTTCTCTGTAACATTTTGGATCCCAGCCTAAGGCTACACCATAAAAGAGTATGTCCAAGGGCTGGAGAGATGGCTCCAGTGATTAAGAGCCCTGGCTGCTCCTCCAGAGGTTCCAAGTTCAATTCCCAGCAACCACATGGCAGCTCACAGCTGTCTGTAACTCCACTTCCAGGGGATCAACATCCTCTCGAACAGACAGACACACATATTGGCAAAAACACCGATGCACATATAATCTTTAAAAAAACAAAAAGCCTCAAATTATGTATGTTTATGTTTATTCTTGCATTCTGTGCAGTTAAAAAAAAAAGGAGGCAGAGGCAGGTGAACTTAAGGCCAACCCAGTCTACAGAGCTAATTTCAGGACAGCCAAGGATGCACCGAGAAAAGCTGTCTCAAAAACAAACAAATAATTACTAAGAGTTCTGGGCTAGAGGCTGGGTTAAGCATTAAGAGCACTTATTCTTCTTGCAGAAGACCTGGGTTCCCCTGCCAGCCCACACACACAGTGGCCAACAGCCATCCTAACTCCAGGGAATCCAGCAAGCTGTCCTGACCACCCTGGACAGCAGGCATGAGCATGGCACATGTACACACATTCTACAACACACTCATAAAATAAGTCCACACCAATCTCTTCCACTAGACTCCTGGTAACACTTGGAGTCAGCGACTTAACACAATATCATTGAGTGCTATACAATTATTAATTCAGGTTTTTGACGGTACTGATGTCACAATAATTTAGTTATAACTGAAGTTCATTTGTTTGTTTTGTGCTTTTTCAAGACAGAGTTTCTCTACGTAGCCCTGGCTGTCCTGGAACTCACTCTGTAGACCAGGCTGGCCTTGGACTCCTAGAGAATCATCTGCCTCTGCCTCCGGAGTGCCAGGACTAAAGGCTTGAGCCACCACCTCCCAACTAATTGAAATAAATTTAAATGGTATTTAGTAGCTAGAGATCCTAATCTGTTAAAGGAATCTGTTAACCAGTTACCTATACAAATGCATCCTTGGAAACTTCATTCCGAATACCCTTCATTTCGATAGAATTAGAACTGGGGCTGTAGCTTAGCGTGCTTGCCTAGCGTGCCTGAGGCCCTAGGTTCCATCTCCAGTCTAGCCAGAACAGATGAAGACTAAATACAAAATAGACTTGTTTAAAAATCATTTCTGCAGAATTGGAGATTACTATAACCATATGTTATATCATACACTGAATAAAAAAATGTAGATAACTTTCCAGGTCTGTGTATATGCACTCATATGCCATATATAAAAAATACCTATGTAACTAGATATTGCTTAATTTACTTATAACCACCCCCCCCTTTTCAAAAGACTGTGATGGTCTTTGCCCACCTGTGTTCTTAACACTGGGGATGTGGGCGGAGAAGGTCACCTTTAGCAGTACATGGCGTCTGAGAGCATCCCAGTCTACACCAGAAAAGCAAAACAAAAAAACCTAACTAAATACTAAAATGTAAGAGTAAAAGGAAAACCTTCCAAATGTCTGTGGAACTACCTCTTCGCGTTCTCTTCTCCTATATTTGGACAAGACATCTGCTGGTGGCAACGATCCTCTATTTTTGTACTTTTCGGTGTTTACCAAATTGTAATTAGCCCGTACTCATTTTATAAGTAGAATAAAATGAAATAAATGGTCTCTCAAATATAACTGCGTGCTGTGTCTGGAATATATAATGCTTCTGACTGCTCTTATCAGGCCCAGAAGGCAAGCAGGAAAGATCCCTGGTCAGATGGGATCTTAAATCTGAGTATACGGTTTTAAGGCTTTTGACACACACCCTTAATTTCAGCACTTGGAAAGTAGAGGCAGGATGGTCTACATAGTGAGTTCAAGGCCAGACTGGTCTATGTAGTGAGCTCAAGACCAGCCAAGGCTATATAGTGAGACACTGTCTCCAAAAAAAAAAAAAAAAAAGCATTAAAAAGCCTAGATTTTTCACAGTGTGCTTAGATGTTTTAATATGTTTTTCAATTTTATCATTTCTATGTAGTTATTACTTGCAAAGATTTTTGTTTGTTTGTTTTTTGCCATTGGAGAAAACCGGGCAGTATCCTAGGCAGAGTCAGCTAATAGGACTCCAGATGGAAAAACTGCTTAGGATTAGCCAAATTGTTAGGAGCCGGTTACGACCCAGTGTGGAATTTAAAGGTGGATTTTGTTCCTGTAGAGCCAGATACCGACTTTTGTAGACCCCAACACAAGTTAGACCAAATCCCAGCTCTGTGTTCACACTCTGCTAAGGCACAGACTGTAGGCAGGGAAACATTTACCTATCTAGTTATACAACGTCTTTGAATTCAAACGATAATTTAGGCCTGTTTTTATTTTATTTTATTTATTTTTGGTTTTTTTGAGACAGGGTTTCTCTTTATAGCCCTGGCTGTCCTGGAACTCACTCTGTAGACCAGGCTGGCCTCGAACTCAGAAATCCGCCTGCCTCTGCCTCCCAAGTGCTGAGACTAAAGGCGTGCGCCACCACCACCCAGCGATTTAGGCCTGTTTTTATGACCAGGCAGTCGCTCGTAAGCAGTCAGGTAAAGTACAGTTTAGTGAAGGGTGAGACGCCTGAGACCACATTGAGGCACTGCCTACCATATTTAAGAGACCCTGAGGGGAGGGGCTAGAGAGTTGACTTAAGTGGTAAAATGCTTCCCAGGCAAGCATAAAGACCCAGGTTCAATCTCTAGAGCCTTAAGTGAAGAGCTACAGTGAGAGCTGCTGCTGGGGAGGCAGAGACAGGTGGTCCGAGGGCTCCCCGACAGCCAGTCTTGCTAGTCAGCGAGCTCAGAGTTCAGCAGGAAACCCTGTCAGATAAAAACAAGGTAAAGAGTCAATCTCTGGCCTCCACACCCATGTCCATACATGAACCCACATGCATGTGCACACGCGTAGAGACATATACACACATGTACAGTACACGGGCATAAACTTTAAAAAAAAAGAGATCTTAGGCCACCAAGATGGCTCAGTGGCTGGAGCCACTTGCTGACAACTCTGACAACTTGAATCTATTTCCTCGGATCCACAAGGTGGAAGGAAAGAATCAGCTCCCACCAGTTTCTAGCCTGACCTATACATGTATGTCAGGGTAACTTACCCCCCCCCCACACACACACATTTTTTCAAATGACTATGTAGGTGTGCCCCTGTGTTTTCGGGTTATTAATTGCTATGCTGGCAGAGCCTAGTGCTGGCCGGATATTTGGTATTATCATTTCTATGACCCATCACCTGCTTTCTATAAAGAAAACACCTTGTCCTTCCTTACCTGCTCAAAGGATGATTTCCCCTGATTGATCATGTTAAAAAGCAAGCAATCATGTGCCAAAAGGCAACACAGAGAGATAAACCATCGGTTGCCCTGTTGCTGGTTGGTTCGGACTGGATGAATACGACTGAATAAATGTGGCTTTTTATAGAATAAAGAGTTGGTGGCTGAGGCTGGGGTAGGAAGACCAGGCAGACAGAGGGAAGGAAGGAGAGAAGCTGGCGGGAAGGATGGAGGGCAATGAAAACCACATGGAGAGATAGAGAAGTCGGAGTAAGTTATGTGGTCTAGCTGAGAGCCTGCCCCAGCAAAAAGGCCAACAGCTGCAAATATATAGATGTCTCTGTGTCTTTATTATTAAACCTCAACTAGGACCCTAAAAGCCCCACCATACACGTGCATCGTGGCAAGCACACGTCACACATACACA